ACAAAATCGCCAACGGATCCCCGTCCAAGTGAAGCTCATCAATGATCATCGATAAGCATCGATGAACGTTGGTGACCTCCACTTGGATAGGGAACTGCTCGCTGTTTGTCAGTGTAACGAGGGCCATGGAGTCGAAAGTGCGTAAACGCAGTTCGTCCGACCACCGGATGGAGGGTATACGTCAAACAACCCCCTGGGCGCTCCGTCAGGTGACAGAGCGCCCGGCGGATTGCTTGGCGGACCATCCGTCCGACGCCGTTCCCACCACCATCACCAACATGCAACACCACCACGAACATGCAACATGCCACATGCAACAACACCACCACCACAACCACCATGCACATGCACTCTAGGCTCAAGGCCCTCGTTACACGGACAAACAGCGAGCAGACCCCCATCCAAGTGGAGATCATCAATGTTAATTGATAAGCATCGATGAACGTTGTAGACCTTCACTTGGATGGGGATCTGATCGCTGTTCGTCCGTGTAACACAACATAAAAAAATCATTCCAAGCCAACTGATGCCACTTTGAAAAAGTGACCCCCTGAGTTAGATAAAATTTAGCATAGTTTGTGTGCATCCATAGCTGAGTGAAAATCGAAAATTTCAGATTTTTCCAACCTTCCGTTGGCCGTTTATTAGACCTTGGGAGTTCAGAAAAGTTAGCATCTTTCGATGGATGCCATCACTTTATTCATGTGTAACTCCGGAACGGTTTATCCAAAATCGACCGTTCCGGAGTTACACATCAATAAAGCGGTGACATCCATCGAATGAGGCCAACATTCCTTAACTTCCAAGGTCTAATGAACGCCCAACGGGAGGTCGAAAAAATCTGAAATTTTCAATTTCACTCAGCTGTGGATGTACACTAACTATGCCAAATTTCATCTAATTTCAAGGGGGGTCACTTTTCCAAAGTGGCACCAATTGGCATGGAATGACACAAAAGCGGGAGGAACAATGAAAATGCGTCCACCCACTCACGATGATTCGATGGACGCCATATTTTGTTTCAAAATGACATGCAATATATCGCATGGATTGGTTCCATTATTTCAGCTACTCGTCATTTTTCTCTAATTTTGAGATCGCAATTTTGTTGTCAGGAGACTAAAGAATTCATTAACCAATTTTGACAAACAAATTCAACGTAATATAGGCGTGGCTTTATTAGAGGAAAAATATAGCATTCGAGGGCAGTTTCGAGATTGATATCAAATGCTGTATTTTTCCTCTAAAAATCTACGCCTATATGACGTTGAATTTGTTGGTCAAAATTGGTAGGTGAATTCTTTAGTCTCCTGACAACAGAATTGCGATCTCAAATTTCGAGAAAAATAAGGAGTAGCTGAAAAAATGGAACGAATCGATGTGATACATCATACATCACATGTCGTTTTGACACAAGATGTGAGGGCCATCGAATCACCTTAAGATGAAAGAGTAATAGGAAGGAAAAGAGAAAGTATCAAAACATTTTAATAAAATCTAACTTAAACTTACTTAGGGACCTAGGGGGAAATATTATGCTTAGGAATAGGAAAAAATATAGAGAGAGAAAAAAAAGGAGACACAAATGAAGAGATAAAGGAGAAAAAAAAGAAGGACAAATAATGATTAGAGGGAGTTTACGCGAAACGCAAGGAGCGGCTAAGCCAGCTAAGTTCAAAGATTTTGGGAAAAAGGACAATGGGAAGGGAGCGGGGAGCGGGAAGCAGAGATTCACGATGAGAAGAAAAAATGGTGCGCGAAAAAAGGACCTATACATCACTACAATCCCGCTTTGACTGAAGATACCTGACCTTGGCTTGATCTGCAGAGTTGCGTAAAACAGTGAAAAGGCTCCTGAAAATGTGGGAAAACGGACAAATTCAAGAGGTCCAAAGTCAAAAATCAAAGAGAACAAAAAAGAAAAGGTCCTCCACTTTTGAAACTGGAGGGAAATATTGAGGAAAACCAAAGAGAAAAATGTGGAAATCTGGTGTGCGCTTGAGAACGTAGAGATCTCAGAAGATTCGGCATCTCCGAAATCACATTTGAAGCATCTAAATACGGCCACATTTCGCATCACAGAGAGGGGCAACGCTGCAATTTTATTGAATAGAAATCTACAGAAAGTCGTAACTCCGCGAGATAAAATTGCGATTTCTTGGCACCATCGCCAGAGACGATTGAAGATACTTAGCTGACCCTTCATAAAAAATAACGAGACGCTGAGCCAAATAACCCTC